ATTGCAATTTTTATTTATCCTAAATATAAAACTTTTTTTTTTTTTTTCAGAATGTGTAAATAACTTTTTTTTTTTTTTTTTTTTTTTTACTATAGATGCAGTTTAATCTATTTGCCAGCTTTAAAATCTGTGCCTACATAGAAAGGAAACTTGTTCCAAACTTTCCCTGTTTAAAAATAAAAAAATAAAAATAAAAACATCTGCGTTCAATGATTGCACCTATGTGTTTGTTTAACAATAAACTAACTAGTAAACTGAAATGATGTGTGTGTGTGTGTGTCTTCCAGGGTCGTAATGGAGCTGACGGTGCACGAGGAATGCCAGGAGAGTCAGGCGCAAAGGTAATGCACAGTTTTCCTAAAGAAAAACATTAAATTATCATTTTTTTCAGTGTTAATATTAAACAAGTTCGCATCCTGTTAACGACTGGTACACTTACCATCTTTTATTTACTTCAGGGTGACAGAGGTTTTGATGGCCTCCCCGGTCTCCCTGGAGAGAAAGGACACAGGGTAAGCGCGAAGGAGTAAAGCTTAGTGTTACTTAAAATCCACATTGATCAAGATGAATGTGTTGCATGAAAAAGCTGATTGGGGTCTAAATGCCATCTGATTTATCAGCACGGTGTGATGTGAATGTTCAGCTCATGTGTGCCATTAGGCCATCTGACCTACTTAGAGAGGTGGGGACAGCTTCAGATCCACCTAAGCAGTGTTTAACCAGGCCAGGAGGCGAATGATGAATGTTGAGTTTAGAGAAACCAAACGGAGACACAAAGATCACAGACGGTTATTTTTAGATGGGATTTTAAACCTCGTCCTATACCAGATAATTACAGAGGTAGGCCGGTCCTTATAGAGCTCTATGAATAGTGAAAACCATATATTGCGGGTCCATGCCCATTGTGGTGACCATGCCAACTTTAGATTAAAGGCGGTTTTTGCTTGTTTTCGTTGTATTTTTTTACACCCTCAATTTTCCACATTTCTGACCAACGTCATATTTTTTTTGCTTTAAACTACAATCTTTTTTTTTTTCTCAGCCGCACAAATCGAGCATGTAGATTCTCTTTTGATTGCAGCATTTGTAATCTTTGTTGATGTTTTCCCTACGTGATCTGTTCCAGGGAGAACATGGCCCCACTGGCCCTCCGGGGTCTCCAGGAGACGACGGGCCAAGAGTGAGTTTTTCATCTGTCTTGTATCACTTTCAAATACCCATAAAATTACTAAAAGTCCAAAATATGTCTGCTTAATCCAAGGGTGAAGATGGCCATGTTGGACAGAGAGGAGTGGCTGGAGAGAGTGTAAGTAAAGCTCTAGTTAGAGGCAGGGTCATTGAGTTTACAGTACAAAACCTTGGGACAATATGAATTTTCCTTAAACTGCGTTACAATTTATTGTGCAAAATTTTTTATCTTCTAAATCATAATCTTAAAAGTGTGGGACACCTCTGTATCCAGCCCACCTGAGTCAATATTTTGTAGAACTATGTTTCCTGCGATTTCCGCTCCAAGTCTTTTAAGGTTTGTCTCTTCCATCTTTGCGTACAAAGCAGCTCAGACTTCTGCCCGTTCATCTGAGTTTTCAAACCTAGTCACAATTATCGAATATATTTAGGTCTGGACTTTAACTGGGCCATTCTAACACATGAGATATCCTTTAATCCAAATCATTCCTTTGTAGCTCTTACTGTGTGCTTAGTGTCGTCCCTTTGGAAGCTGAACCTTCACCCCAGTCTCACTTTTGGAAAAGCGATCAGATTTTCTTCCAGGACTGCCTTGTATTTTGCTCCATCCATCTTCCCATCAACCAGCTGTCCTACTCCTGGATGATGTGCAGTGTTAGTTTTCCCCCTGACTTATTGCTTTGGACTTGTGCAACAAAGTTCTTTTAGGGTCTCATCTGATCAGAGCGTCTTCTTCTACAACGTGGCTTGTGGCCTTCTTTTTGCCACTCTTTCAGTCGTGGGCTTACTAACTAGTTGATTTATGAAAGTCTGCCAGGGTGTCAGGTTAAAAGGGGCTGAATAAGTGAAAATCCTGTATCCATAAAATCCTAATCAGTTCAGATCAAAGGGTGAACGTCACCTTCTCGTCCCTTTCAGTTTTTTTTTTAATTCATGGCCTTGCCAACCTTCTTTACTCTAGGGAGCATTGCCTCTCTAATCTCAGCCTTGTTATAAACAGTTTCTGCATAAGAGATCAAAAAATAGAACTGGAATTTTTATTTATTTATTTTTTTCTGTTTATGTCCGTGTGAAAGTTTCCACTACTGCCAGGCGCTGTGTAAATGGTCCGTGAACGGTAGCATGAGAAATTTGCTCCCTCTTGTACCCAAATTAGCAGAGTCCTTTTAGAGAAACGGTTGCACCACGTTTCATCACACACCAGCAGGAAGGTAAAAGAGCAAAAATACTTTAGCTGACATCAAATGAATGTCTTTATGTTTTACAAGGAGGAACAACTTTCATACTAGCTTTCCATCTGCAGTGCCCATCTGTGACCACATGGGGGTTTGTGTTTCACATAGAGCAACATTTAAATTCAGTGCCAGGCAGTTTTAGTACCTTGATGTTTTTTTTTTGTTTTTTTTTAATGTTGCATTTAATAACTTGTGTTGAGGTGGATTTTTTTGTTTGCTTTTTAAAAATTGTTTCCTTCTCTTTATAAACAGGGCCCCAGAGGTTTGCTTGGCCCCAGAGGGTCCCCAGGTCCTCCAGGACAACCTGTAAATATGATTTGTTTGTGCTCTGAGCTGAGTCATACCATTCTGCATGATTTGCTTCTTTCTTAATAACAATTTTCATCAACCAATTCTGTTCACATTAGGGTCTTTCTGGACTGGATGGTCAAGCTGGTCCCAAAGGAAACATGGTGAGAAGTCTTTGTGTTGTGTTTGTTTAAAAAGTTGAAAGTCTGACTTTTTCTGCAGCATCTAGTTTGTGTGAGGCTTACTTTGCTGAAGGACTGTGAGCGTTAACTCCAGTGCAACAATGCAAGGGAGGAGGCCATGACTCAGCTGTTGATGACAGCAGAGCCTATTTCATTTACTTTCTAACTGTACTTTGAGGGTAAACAAAAAGTCTGTTCAGTGGCTTAGCTTGCCTACATCAGTTCTTTTACTGGGATTTTCACAGAATATAAAATTACAAATTCGAACATTTTAAAGGTTTAAATTAACATTTAACGGTAATATTCCCAAATGAAAACTGAATAAAAACTGATTCAACTAAAAATATTGCATGTCTGCTTATTGCAAAAATAGCTAAAAAAAAAAACCAAAAACTTATATTATTGTATATCATATTTTTACACTTTATGAATTGCATAACCTTATTTTACTTACTGTCTAACATTAAGTTTAAACTGCAACATAAAAAGCTTCATCACAGTTTGTATTTGGACTTGAGGACAAAGATCTAAATTTTGACTTGTGGTCAGTAGAATAGAATAGAATAGAATAGAATAGAATAGAATAGAATAGAATAGAATAGAATAGAATAGACTTTACTGATGTCAAAGGGAAATTGCTTAAAACTGCCCTAAAACTGCTATGCTTGCTTGAATCTTGCAAGACTGAGAACTCCATCACTAAATGTAAAGCACTGTGGCGGCAGCATTATTTCATATTTTCCTCCATCAGTTTATGTTTTGGTAAATTTACCATAGATTTAGTTGACTTAAATGTTCTTAGTATTTGTCACTTAAACTAAAATGTAACAATGTGTGCTTCAGTCATAAGACTAAGACAGAGTTTTGATTTCAAATGACTGACTTCAGATTCAGCTTGATCAAAAAGCTCAAGCTTGTACTTACATTTTGACACCAGCAACTAAAAACTTCATCCTGAGCTAAGCTTTCTGACTTGAAAGCATTTAATAGCTTAGACCAAACAGAGTGTTATTTTTAAAGAACAGGAAACCCTGACATTTTACTTGCAGACTCCAGTTAAAATGTCAGCGTTTTATGAAAAAACATTAAGCCAAAGTAAGTAATTTCTGAACTTTCCCTACCTTAGTTATGACATGAAGTCAGTAACTCAGTTGAAAAATACTGAAAGCTTAAAAGATCAAATAAATATTGTAGGTGTATAAGAGTTAACACCCTTAAACTAATGCTTTGTTAAATCACCTTTTGATTTTATTGCAGCATTCAGTCATTTTTGGATTGTACTATATTAGGCCTTTTTTTTTTTTTTTTTTTTTTTTACAAAAGCACTCCTACTCTGTCAGATAGTGTGGAAATTTTCTGTGCACAGCCCACTCCAGACCAGATGACCTCATTTTTTTCCACCTCGGTTTCAGGTGTGGTATCCAGCTGGGACTTTCCAAATCTTTTTGGATCTTTTGGAAAGGCCGTTCTTATATTGATTGTGATGTGTGTTTTAGGTCATTGTCATCCTCAGAGATGATATTCTTATTCATCTTTTACTTTCTAGCAGAAGTCTGAATGTTTTACAAATTAAAATTCAAGGTGTAGCACTGGACTCCAGACTTGCACATATTTGACTTCAGACATGAAATTTATTTGCCTTTTACATAACTGACTTCATCCCTCTCTCGGCTAAAATGTCTACAAATAACAAAAAAAATTGACTACAATTAAATTACATTTTCAGGCCTTTTACAGATTTCTTAGTTTTGTTTTCTTTGTCATGCCTACATGTTTCAAGTAAAACAACTCTAAAATCAGACACAGATCTGACCTTTTGTGGAAAAAGTAATTTCCTCCTTTTAAGATCAGGATTGAATTGCAACTAAGCATTTTTTAATCCAGTTTCAGAATCCAAATGTGTAGAATAAGGAAACATCTTAGTAGCTCATAAGATAAGATAAGATAAAAGATAAGATAAGATATTCCTTTATTAATCCCACAGTGCTTGACAACACAAAATTGACCTATTTTCTTTTCTTTTTAAAGTAGTTCATCATGGCCATGTCTAAAGAAATTCAAGTACAGATGAGAAACAGTAATTTACATCAGTCAGGAAGAGCAAAATTTGAGATAGTTCTTTGATTATCCTTAAGACTTTTGGTAAAAATACTCTGCAGACTGACAAGGCAACAGAAATTATGTTATGGAAGGTATGTGTCCTTAGCAAAGCATTTCAGAATAAAATACACATACTGATTGGTGGTGGCAGTGTCATGGTCTGGGGCTGCTAGCTTCATCTGGACCTGAACGGCTTTTTTTAACTGATGGAAGTGGGAATTTTGCTGCAGTCCTAAAAGCAAATGTCCAGCCGTCAGTTTGCTACTTTAAGCTCAGTAGCTCCATATTTGTGCTGTAGGACAATAATCTGAAGCACACCTGCAAAGTTCATCTCTTTGCTGGTGTGCTCACTTTGGCATAATCTTAACAGACTTTTCATGTTTGGCTGAGTTCGACTTCTTCAAAGAGTGGGTCAAAATGGGGCATGACCCCTGACCTATCACGTAGAGATAAGTGCCAGTAACAAAAATACTTAACGGCAGTTGTTGCCTACAAGGGTGGCACAACCAGTTATTACACTTAGGAAGCATTTCACATAGAAGCAAGTTGCTATTTGTTTGATGTATTTAAAATACATTTCAATACGAAAAGGCAAAAACCGAAGAAATCTTTAAGGGGACAAATACTTTTTTATGGCACTTGCATTTACCTACTGTGTTTGTGTTCTTAGTGGCTTTGACCGTCTGAAGTTTTCCTTTGCACGTTTTTCAGCTCTACCAGCTGAAACAGACATCTTCATTGCGGTTCTTTTATGAACGTTTGAATCCAACACCATGTCATGCTTGAAAAAGGACATTTACAGTTTTTGTCTGTGTGTTTGCCCTCTGATAATGGATCCCTACTGAACCCAAATATCAACACTAATGACAGAACAAGATATCTTGTTCTTCACCCCACGAGGAGTTATGTTTCTTAATTCATCCTTTCATTATTTGGCTGCTGCTGAAATGTTAGGAGTTCTCTGCATTAAATTAACTGAATTGTTTTATTCTGTTCTGTGAAGGGTCCACAAGGAGAACCAGGTCCTCCTGGGCAACAAGGCCTGCCTGGTCCTCATGTGAGTGTTTAGTTATTTACATTAATCCTGTTCAATCACTTTCTCCCTCTTTTTATGTATACTTTCTCATTCACTCCTCTTCCTCCTCGCTCTGCTTCTTTTTCTCTTCGTTCTATTTCCAGTTTCCCATATTGACAGTGCAACAGGGAGCAGTATAATCTTGAATGATCCCCCACATTTCTGGTTTTTAAATCAAAATCTCTTTCCACATTTTTCTTTCTCGATGCACTCCCCACAGCCCAGCCACTATCCCTCTGTCGCAGAAATCTCACATGAGAAAAGAGTAAATCTTTGTTTCTGTCCTACTAAAAGCAGCAACAACACTAGTATCCAGCAGAAATTGTTCACATATTAGACACCTAATTCCATTTTTGAGTCGGATTTGATGTGAAACAGGGCCTTTTAGTGTTTACGCCAGTGCTGACTGACCTTTGCCAGGTATAATTTTCAGTCCTGCTGACGATCACAGTGTGAACAGAACGGCGTCGTTACTTTGGAAAGTATTAGTGGGAACCTGCGGGATGGAATGCAGGTTGAATGCATAACTTATTCACAGCCAGAGACACTTTAATGCAAAAGCACAGGACCTCTGGAGAGTTTCTCTTTGTCAATAGCTGTTTCAACTCTTTGTTTTTGGGCTGCAACATGAAGTTTTAAAAACAAAATGTTTTAAACAGTAAAACGATGAGTAACTGTATCCCAGCCAATGATATTTATACTATAACTTTCTAAAACATACCTGGACTGGTTCCCTGTGCTTCTTATAACATGTTTCTTTTCTTTGTCTACCAGGGTCTCATTGGTCCTCAAGGTCCAATTGGGCCTCCGGGTGAAAAAGTAAGTACAGTGGGAACTGAAGTTCCTCCTTAGACCTTCTCTACAGTGCTGATAAGTGTATGTTTCAGTCAAGACTTGATAAGTAGTTGAGCAGATTTGTGGCTGAGCTGTAAGCCCTTACCTTGCTCCTCTAAGGGCAGAAACACTCGCAAGATCACACATTTTATAGGCATCAGAGCTTAGTTTGGCTGACAGAGAGAATTTTGTTTGCGGTTTCGAAAACGTATTTCAATATGTTTAGCATATCTGTCTGACTGACTGCGTCCGTATTTATTACTCTGTCTTTGTAGGGGCCTCAAGGGAAGCAAGGTCTGGCTGGACTTGCCGGTGCTGATGGCCCTCCTGTAAGCCGTGGATTTCGATCCGTTTTTAATATTTCACTTATTGACGTTAAATATTTACCGGCACCTAATCAGCAGTTGTGTGTGCTTCTCTAGGGTCACCCTGGGAAAGAAGGACCTCCTGGAGAGAAAGGATCCACGGTAAGTTGGAATATATTTTGGTAATCTATATTTTTCAATAAAGTGCCTAATTTGTTCAAAATGTGTTGTTGCTGTGTGATAAGCACAGTGGTAGTTTGAAGAAAAGTATTAACACATTCTTCACAAAGCCTTATCCAGAGCATTTTATCGAAGCACTTTATCACACTAGATCTTGGACATGGTGAGTATAATTTGAATGTGCAACAATAGTGCAAGAACAGGTGCATCTCTATAAGATTATGCCTTATTTCTGAAATTCAGATTACAAATCTAAACTAACTTCACGGCACATACTGTGATATATTTCAACCATTTAGTTCCACTAATTTTGATCATTTGACATGCAGCCAATGGAAATTCAAAGCTTAGTTTGTCAGAAGTTTAGACTATTACGTAAGAGCAACATAAAAGTGTTAGCACAACTGTTGCTCAGTGGGCAGACTAAACATCCTTTATTTTGGAAAATATTTGTTTGATTTCAGGTCCTTCATGATTCAATTACTTATAAACACATCCAAAGCACTTAACCCCAAGTTGCCTGCCGATCTGAGTATTGATTGGTTGAAAGTGGCTCTGGTGTAAAGCGCTTTGAGTGGTCAGTGTAGCTATAAAAGTCACATATTTCACAGAAGTGTCAGCCGACTGAGAGGCGGCCTTCTGCTTGTTTGCAGTGTCTCCTTATGGCAAGACTCCACAGATCCTCTACAGGGTTTAGGTCATGCCAGTTTGCTGACCAATCAAGCTCAGTGATAGAACAATCATTTAAGTCAGCCTTTGTATTTTAGCAGTGTACGCAGGATCAGCATCTCCCTTAAAGCTTATGAGCAGAAGAACGTTTGAACCACAATTTTTCCTTCTTCTCAACTTTCAGTTAATATGCTTCAACATGGCATGTAACCTGCCAGACGCTTTATCATTGAAGTTTGAGTCGATGTCCACTGTCCACTGGACAACAGTCTTAATATGCAGGCCATAACTTAGCAAGTAAACATGTTATTTAAACTTTATTTTTACCAGGATGAAATCCATTGAGATTAAAAAGCTCTTTTTCTAGCCCAGGCCAAGAGGCAGCAACAAATACAACACAGAAAATACAGTTAAAAGGAAATGTCAAGCTATGAGAAACAGGTGCATGTCATAGAGTTGGCCTCAAGGACTTTTTATTTTTATTGTCCTTATGTAATACTTCAGTTTCCTGAGATACTTGATTTTAGGGTTTTATTAGCTGTAAGCCATAGTCTTTAAATCTGACTGAAATAAACACTTGAAATACAAATCAGTATATGAGTTTGACCTTTTGAATTCTGAATAAATATTAAATACACTTAAAATAACTTCTCATTGACATTTTAAGGTACTAAAATTCATCTATTCTATCGATGATCTGCCTTGCATATGTGCAAAAAAAAAAAAAATCATCAAAATGATCAAGAATGCAATGGAATACTGAACATTTAGTGTTTGTTTTTAAATTACAGGGTTTTCCAGGTCCAATAGGATCTATCGGCTATCCTGGTCCCCGTGGTGTGAAAGTAAGCGAAAAAAAAAAAAATAGTTGTGGACCATTTTGTGAACATTACTCTGACTGTATTCGCCCACATCCTGCAGGGCGCTGAGGGAGTTCGAGGCGTCAGAGGAGACAAAGGAGAAAAGGTAAACTCCTCTCCAACCTCCTCAACATGGCTGACAAATGTCAGTCCTCTGCAAATGCCCCCCCCCCCCCCCTCAGAGTTGCAGTTTTTCCTGAAATGGGGCTTCCTTTTATTCTGGCAAGAGAAAAACTTCTTAAAGGCCTATCGGACTAGTACTCAGGTCCTCATAACATTGAGCTGCAATGGAGTGTGAATCACCAGGCTGGAATAATATTGAGATGTGGTTTCAGTGACTTACTATATTTAGTTGTTACCACTGGGTAATAGTACTTATTAGCAGCAAACTATTAGGGTACCCCAGAAGCATAATTATTAAAAACAAAGTGAGCACATACTATATAAGCGTCCTGTAATTTGATGTCAATCTGGGATGATGATAGTTTCAAAACAAGTGTTCTTTTATTTCATTTTATTATCAAAAGGAAACAATTTTGAGATGGAAAAGAAATTTAAAAATGTAATTCTTAACTCAAACCACCAGATGTCAGCAGAGCAAAACAGACAGCAGAAGACAAGCCAGCAATAAGCTCATCAGAGCTTCTCATAAATGACCAGTAGATGTCACTGTTCTTCTTTTTTGAAGAAGATGTAATCCTCTCACGCCTGTATTTCAGTTTTACTTTCATTAACAGGATTCCTTTCTCTTAAAACAACAGATTTATTTATTAAATGTGTTTGTTTAATAACGTTTTGCTGCAACAGATGTCGGTATAAGGAACTGGTCCTGCCGTGGCTCTAATAACTAATAACTCTTTCACCACCAGGGAGAGGATGGATTCCCTGGTTTCAAAGGGGACATGGGCATCAAGGGGGACAAGGTGGGTCATCAGTTCTAAAGAGAAGACCAGTCTTCACAGCTGAAGACATATAAAGCATAGAAGAAAAAAAAAACATGTGACATATAAAACTGTTGTCATTATTACGTCTTTATTCAGGGTGAGGGTGGTGTACAAGGACCCAGAGGAGAAGATGGACCTGAAGGGCCAAAGGGCAAATCAGGACCAGGTGGAGAGGCTGGACCCATGGGTTTAGCAGGAGAGAAGGTAAATAGTCAGTGCTTTCGAAGGCTGCAAATTTATCCTTTATGTAAATATAGTTAAGTAAACTTTAAATCGTAATTAATGATTTTTCAACACACAATTTGCAGTTATCTTTAGCTACATGATCCAGTCATACAGTCTTTTATTAAAGTTCTATAGTTTTGAACAGTGTTGTGCCAAATTACCCTTATGAAGTAGTTCATTTTTGCTGTGTTGAAATTTTATTTTCAAATATTCTGAACTAAGTTCAGAGTCCCAAAAATCAACTAATGTGGTTTCATTAGTCAAATTGTTTATGTATTAGTAGCAAATAGATTCTATGTAAAAATTTTATCAGCTGATGTTTTTAAACAGAATCAATGTTGTTTTAAGAGGAAAAGCATGCTCATATTTTAACTACGGCCACCGTTTAAAAAAACTGTCCTAATGGGCAGATTTTCTTTTAAACATTTATTTTAATCAAAAGCCAAACTTTTGATTAAAATATTAGAAGTTGCACCAGGGAGAGCTGCGGTACTTGCAAGCTCATCATGTAAAAAACAAGCAGCATATTTATGTGGTGCTAAAACATCTTTTTAGTCCTTTGATCTATCCTGTATTTCCTGTTATTGCAATAATGACCGTGGGTGAAGCTGCATGCATTTGTGCATTTAATGCAATTTTAACTTCCTGGGATGAGTAATGACCAAACTGAATTCTCTGGCAATCGCCTTATAGTCACATATTGATTAGAATGAGTTCAGTTTACGTCTCTCCTCTCTTGGCATGTGCATTTCTGAGACTTAAAACATTTAATAACTGCACATGTGAACAATGTTTTCAGTTTGAGGAGACTTCATTAGGTGGTAGATTGCATAAGATAAATATAGTTCCATGTTACTGCCTGATGTAATTTACATAAACGTAATATTAAGAACTTTTTCACCTTCAAAAGCAAAGGTTACATGTAAATAAAGTTTTATTTCCTGTCCCTCTGTGGATTTTGAATTATGTCTTAAATGCTACAGCCAATAAGGTCTATGATAGCAGAAAATTATTAACTTCTGGTTCATTTTTTCTTTTTTTTTTAATTTGTCTTCAGGGAAAACTTGGAGTCCCTGGATTGCCTGGATACCCTGGAAGACAAGGCCCAAAGGTGGGTAATGGGAACAATATCAAATCTCTTAGATAAGTGAGGGAGACATGATAGTCATAAAAATAAGTCATGTAATTGGAGATCATTTGTTTACCAAGATCTTTGGTTTAATTATCAAAGTTCACTTTCTGTAGTTTATTAAAACTGTACAACCACAGAGCCCACTGCAGCCTCTGAGTGGGATTTGAAGCAGTTTCTTCCAGGTGGATCTGCAAGTTACACAGAAACAGATGTTGGCACTCGAAACTCAAGGTCTTTATATACACAGTGAGCTACAAATACCACCATCTAAGACCATGAGCATATCTGGTTGCATGAAAAAAGTTACGCAAGTAATTGTTAGAAGTATAGCACATTGAAGTCACAGTGGTTTAAAAGCTGAAGATAATTAGCCAAATTCAAACAGATTACAAAAGTATTACGATTTTCTTTCCTGCTCAGCACCTACCCTCCTCTCACACGCCTTTCTAAAACCTGCTGACTAAATGCTCTGACCCACAAACCTAAGCAGATGCCGACTGCACACCCTCCATGACTCTTTATAGGAAATCCTAACTGGCATGGTCATCTGCTTTAGTCATCAGCTGTCCCTCTTCTTAGACCAAAGCCATTATCTAAAAATCTGGCTCTGCTTGCACTCTAGCCCTGACCATATTGCTACTGCTCCACTATCTGGATGTGCTGCTGCAGCTGCTTCCTCTTTGCTGCCGTAAGCACTGACATCTTGGCGCTGATAGAACCTGCTCTCACAACATCGAGATCGGCAAATCTCCAGCTCTGCCTGAAAGTCAGCAAAACCTGAGCTGATTATATACAAGAAATTATATTTCTAATCGGTTACCCAACAATTAGCAACAATTTTTTTATTTTATTTAATTTTTTTTGGAGGGGATTGGGGTGAATTGTATTATTATTGATGGAGCAATTTAGTCTCATAATGCCAAAGACTTTACTTTTACTCTTAAAATCAATATAAAGGATTAATTCTTGACCATTAAAGTAGTGCAACATCTGCTCAAAAAATCTACATGGTGATAGCAATTTTTTTAACAATTGCAAGCTGTCTGCAAAGTTTCTAAATGGTTGGTATGATCAAACCGTCCGAGTGCCAGTAGCTGCTCCCTGCATGTGGTCATGGATAAAGAGTACAGGTTTGTCTCTTTTGCCTTGATTTGAATATAAAAAAGGTCATTTCCATCATATAAAAATTTTGACGTACTCTCCTACTTCAAAAAATCTGTTCAGCTGTTTGTAACTGGGATTCCTTTATAGACAAAGTTCTTTCAATTAAACTTTGTAGACTGGAGAAAGTTACTCGGGGGG